GAGAGAGAGAGAGAGAGAGAGAGAGAGAGAGAGAGAGAGAGAGGAGACAGATCTCACCACGTAGCTTGAGCTGAACTGGAACTCCTTATGCAGACAATATTAAACTTGAACTTTCAGGAAGCTACGTGGTTCTGTCTCCCAAGTGCTAGGATTAAAGGTGGATGCCATTATTCCTGGAAAATGCTGAAGCATTTTAGGCATGGAAGTGACTAAAATATATATGTACTTTGTCAAGATGAAACTCAAGGACCAACCAGGGGACAAACATGTATTCTCAGGACAGCAATAGACATGCCCTGACTGGAAGGGGAAAAAAAGGTCTGATATAGTCTATCCTAGGTTTAAATTCTACCTTCTCATTTTCAGTCACAGAATCTTAGACATGCAAGTATTGACAAATTATCTAACTATTTATTAGTTTTCCCATCTGCAAAATGGGAATGATGATACCTCAAAACGTTGGGAAGGTTTCATGATAATAGCACATATTACCTCTATCAGTTGAGCATTGATTATGTGCAACATTTTTAAGTTTTGAAAGATTTGTTTTATTTTTAATTACGTGCATGTGTCTGTGTGGGTATGTGTACCTCAGTACAGGTGCCCATAGAGGCCAGAAGAGGGTGTCAGAGCTGATGGAATTGGAGTTACAGGTGGTTACTAGCTGCCCATTCTTATTAAAAATAAGCAGGGCAGTGGTGGCACAAAACTTTAGTGCCAATCTTTGGGAAGCATTGGCTGAAGGATCTCTGAGTTCCAGGCCAGCCTGGTCTACAGAGCAAGTTCAGCCAGAGATAAATAGAGAAACCCCATCTAAAAAAACAAAAAAGAAAAAGAAACTAAACTTCAATGCAGTGTGTACTCTTAATTATGAGCCGTCTCTCCAGCCTCTTCTTTAAATACTGATGCATTCATTTCACACATGAAAACGATTTGGCTAGGGGTACATAACAAATTACTAACTTTGATGATGCTATTTACCTTTGCAAACATGGCTCAGATAGTACAGAGGAAGAAGCAGTGACTGTTTCCACTAGCTCTTCTGACACTAGGCTAAAGTTAATTTCATCCATCAAGTGACTGGAGAGCCGAGAGAAGAAGGAAGGTGAGGGACAGGGATTGGTGGAGTGTGCCCAGCACCTTGACACCCCCGTCTCTCATCTCAACTCCATCCCTGACTTCTGTGCCCAAAGCTGCACCTGGATTCCACTAGACAGCAGCAGCAGGGCTGCCCACCTGTCCTGGTGAGCTCCATTCTCACTGTGGCACAGCTGAGGCATTTGAAGGAATCTCAATTGGGGATTTGATAAAATCATGTTTGCTTATGGCCATGTCTGTGGGAAACGGTCTTGATGGAGAACTGATGGGGAAATGCCAGCCCACTGTCCTGGGCAGGTGAGTCTGTGCTGTATAAAAATGTTAGCTAAGGATGAGCCAGCAAGCCAGCAAGCAGGGCTCCTGCATGGCCTCTGCATCAGTTCCTGCCTCCAGCTTCCTGCCTCCTGCTCCTGCCATGGCTTCACTGGATGACGGACTGTAACCTGTAAGCCAAATAAACCCTTCCGCCTCCATGCAGCATATGGCCCATGTTTTATCACAGCAACAGAAAGCAAACTGGACCCCCAGCCCACCAGTAACCTAGAGCCAGAGACCAAGAGCAAAGGAGCAGGACTTACCATTCATTGTCGGGTCTGGGTTCCACCAACCTGAAGAAAGACCAAACTCAGTTTAGAAAAGGAAGCACTATTTAGAAATGGTCTCATATCATTTACAAAATTAGCCTCAGCTGCTAATTACACTCAAGCTGGGATAGGGGGAAATCTGTGATTCTATCTTGGCTCTGTGCACTGCCTGAGGTCTTGATCAAAATGATTTTTTTTTGTAAAAGGAGATAAAAGCAAGTGGTATGGAGATGCAGTTACATCATTTCAGATATGATGAACAAGAGGTGGGCATGGCAGCACACTCCTGGAATTCCAGAACTCTGGAACTAGAGATAAGAGGATCAGAAGTTCAAGGATGGACCTCAAATTAAATATATATATATATATATGATGTACATGTTTTTCTTGTTTTGTGAAGTCTTGGCAAACTAATGGCCCCTTACCCTTGCTAATATTAAAGTCTTACTAGTCTTGGGCCAAAGAGGAGTTTTCTCAAAGTGTGGGGCAGGCTATCCTCACATATCATCTGCCAAAGCACAGGTCCCTGAACCATTCTGGGTCTCCAAGTCAGACTCTCTTGAGGGAAGGACATAAATCCCAAGATTCGCACTCAGACACTCTATTTAATTCTGATACACACTGAAATTCCAGACAGGCAACGTAAATGAAGACTGTGAATGTATTACCACATGAGCCTTGATGCTCCAGCTGACAAAGCTTCTGTTGTCTTTTTTTTTTTTTTAGGAGAAGTGGTTTGAGACAGGTTTTCTCTGTGTAGTTTTGGAGCCAGTCCTGAAACTCACGTTGTAGACCAGGCTGGACTCAAACTCACAAAGATCCGCCTGGCTATGCCTCTGTTTTCATTACATGTCCAGATGGGACACAGATTGTTCAACTCAGACTAGTATCATTCATATCCATTCAATGAGGCGTGGTTATTACAACATGTGGGACACTATAAAATGATACAAGGCCATCTTTTCAAAGTACTTACCAGGTGTGGGAGAGCTTGTTTGAGAAGCTGTAAAGGAATAAAAGCAAATTCAGACTGTGTGTTTCACCCACAGGAATCCTGGAAAACCCCTCCTGGGAAGCAATAACCCTGACTCTTATGCATTGATCAACCAGGAACACTGAGGTCAAGTTCACCAACCCCTGAACAGAAAGAGTCTTCACTCTTCTATGTGGGCTTCCCCTAAGCCAAAAGTCTAGCATTGAAGTTCCATTTTGATTGGTCAAAAGAGGAAAACAGTCTTTGTAATATCAATCAGCACTCTGTGTCCATGGCGTCCTTCACAGATTACACAGGCAGTGGATCAAAAAATGGGGGAACCCCTGCTCTGTACTAAGCATGCAGACACTTCCCCTCCTGTCCTCATCCCAGGAGCCTCTGGTCCTGCAGTGATGTACACAGCTGATATTCTATTAGGTCTATGTTTGGGGATAACTGGAAGGACACAGGAAGGCATGTGGGGGTCACACACCAGGTTATATAAAGACTTGAGGATCAGAGGGTTTGCGCATAAGCAAGGGAATTCTTAGGAAAAAACTCCTATTGAGACTGAGAGATAACTGCTCAGGAATAGTGAGGATGAGGTCAATAGTGTTCCTGGTTTAGCATATGAGTACGTGTGTGTGTGTGTGTGTTTGTGTGTGTGTGTGTGTGTATGTGTGTGTGTGTGTGTATGCATATATTATGGAAAGAGCAGGGCTGCTCAGGTCTGGCAGGAGGCATGAGATTGGGATGCTCACACTTACAGCCTATGGCCTGCTTGTTGAAATACATTTCTGCGAGCGGAGACCCTGTTAAGCTCATGAACATTTTACAAGCTGGGCAATATTTAGAGAGATGTGTTCCCTGCCCACCAGAGACTTCCAGCAGAGTTAGGCTGGAAATGTATCATCAACACTGATGAAGACATCAACAGTCACGCACAGCATACAAGTGCTAGCTGAGATATCATTATCAATATGAATGTGTTAAGAATATGAATGGCCACTGAATAACATACAGTGTACGTGTGTGCCTCTATGTCAATGTCCATTTCTGTCTATATGTGTATGTCTGGAATTGTGTGTGTCAGTGTATCTGAGTTTATGTGTGTGTCTGCTCTGTGTGAAAAATTTGTCTCTGTGTCACATCTCTTTGTGATGTGCATGTTTACTTGTGAGGAAACATATATATGCCTTGCTGTTTCCATATATATGTATGTATGTATGTTTGTGTTCCTGCAAGTATCTATCATATGGCTTTATCTCTGTCTATATCTGAGTATGCTTATGTCTGAATTGTGTGTGTGTGTGTGTGTGTGTGTGTGTGTGTGTGTGTGTGTGTGTGTGTTTCTAAGTATGTTGAGTATAAATCAGAAAGGATCTTCTAAAGGGACAATGTCCTGGTCTTTAGAAAGAGCAGTTAGAAGAGTCTAGTAGAGGACAGGACAAGAATAGACTTGATCAAGAGACCAGAGCAGCCAGAGTGAGATGAGTTGGGCTACAGGTGGCACTGTTGGAGTGTGGACTGTAGCAAGCACAGCATTGTAGAGTGGGTGACCAGCAGAAGCCTTTATGATAGGAGAATTAATGAGAGGCACTCCAGGCATGGTGACTCACACCTTACTGCTTTGCCCTCTGAACACTGGAAAAGTGTATACAGACCAGGTTACATTTCTCCAAACCAACACTGGGCTATTCCTTGTACAGCATGTGTGTGCTGACCCTGGTGCTTTAGTCTGGGCTTTGCTGCTGCTCTTCCCTGGGTTACCTGTCTCACTCTAGAGTCCCTGGAGAACTGAGAGGATTCACAGGACCCTGACTGAGAATGCCATTGCTCTGGACATTCAGCAGTCCTTACAGAGGCAGTGTGAAAAACGACAGAATGGAGTTTGGGAGCGTTAAAAGAGACCTGTGCATACTGCATTTCTGGGAGGCAGAGCTGCTAGTGTTCTCTGGGTCATACCTGAGCAGATGACTCCAGCATCCTCAGAGTGTCCACAGTTATGGGAGAGCCAGCCTCGGTGGGAGCAGCTCCACAGGTAGTACTCATGTCCAGTACAGGCCACATCATCCAGGACAATGGGCCCTGAGCCCTGTCCAAAC